AGCTCTATCAGTACGACGTCCTCCAGGCTGCTGACTTTGTGCACACCAGTGTAGACTGAAAGTGTTTTGGTGAATCTGACATCAGATGGAACAATAGAGAGAACAATAAACACAGAACAGTTGCATATTGCTCAGACACACCTGCAGTTATAAACCAACTCTAAAAAAATATGTCAAAATATGTAAAACTCTGCCATAATATTACAAAAAAAAGTAGACATTGTATTTTCACCGCTTTTCTTTAAATACTTTAAATTATTTTAATTGAATTATTTGAGTGGAATTCAAGCAAGATATTAGTGAGAAACCGTTTGTGCCACAATCCCAAAACCAAAGAATGTGTTAAATTAATAAAAAAATGTAAATCTTAAAACAATAACTGTTAATACATTTAAAAAAAAAAACAATTGTTAATACATTTTTTAAAAAAAACTGTCAACAAATAAAACAATTGTGTGAAGAATAAATTACATCAGAGGGATTTAAATTAAGCTCTACATTTCCAGGAACTGATTGTTCTTTTATTGTTTGATGGTTTTTAGTTTGTGAATATATATTTATCAGAACATCTGTTATTTTCATTCATCAAATGTAATTGTTTTTTTGTCATTAGATCAAATGATGTCAAAATTGGATTTTGAAAGTTACCAAATCTGCATATTTAACCTTTGTTACATCATATTATTGCTGTTCTCTGGTAAAAAGAAGAATATATATTTACTGATGTAATAATGACAATAATGTGTCAGAGACTAACTTCGGCTCTGGTCCAGGTTTACTTTACTCCCCCCCCCCTCCTCCCCTTCTCTCTCTGCATCACCCATGTTGAATCCTTCCTCTCTGCAGTGCACAGTCATGATGCTCTGTGCGCATGCGCACCATCACATCCTGCTGATCAATAAATCTGGCCCGGACTAACCCAAGTTATGAATTAAGAGATCAGTACAGAGACACAACCCGGATCAGTCCGAGTCCAAAAATTATCATCAGGCCACATATCAAACGTTTCTGATACGGATCATTAAATTCACTTCCGTTAACGCATCACTGCGGGACACACACACACACACGCACACGCACGCACACACTGATCTCTGTGGTCCGGGCTAAACCTAGTCCGGATCAGGCCTACCTGGCGCACCGTCCGCTCCTTTTCCGCCTTTTGGGAATCTTCATCTGGGATTTTATTTCGGCACAAAACGTCCTGGTCCAGAAAACCCACCGTTCCTCTAAAGGGGGGCCGGGGTTTGGGCCTCAGTCTCCCGCAGGACTAAACCACCATTTATTTCTCCTCTAACAGTCCCCGATATCAAACCAGAACACAGACCGGCCGTGCGATGCAGAGCAGACTCGCTGCTGCAGGACCGGGACGCACCGAGTCCACAAAGACACAAGAACAGATTTTGTGTCCCCAGGAGCGCTCATTAAAACCTGCTGTCCGGGTCCCGGTCCTCCTCCGGTACTCCGCTGCTGCAGATGGAGGAGGAGGAGGAGGAGGAGGAGGATGATGCGGACTGATCTTCCCTTCTGCAGGACCAGATCCGAGAGTCAAATCCGGGACAAAACCAGATCCAGAACCCCGTCTGAGGCTGACCCGGGCCGGCTGTCTGTCTGTCAGTCAGAGGCGGTCTGTGGGTGTCAGGTTCTCCGACTCCAGCCTGTTTGTCCGCACTGCAGCTCCGCATCCACCAGCGTCAAACCGGCGTCACCGCACACAACCACAACATCCGGTCACAGCTTTCAAAATAAAACGCCCTATGATGAACGCGTCATCACCTCTTTTTAGTGTATTTATTTGTTTCCCTATTGTTGTCAAATATTAGTTAATATTATCATTTTTTGTATTATTAATTATATATTCACTTTGTATCAACCTGTATAGTGTCATTTAAAAGTATATATACAAAGAGTTATTAATATGAACATCTTTTAAGAACATCTGAATCCAAATATATTTTTTTTTTTGTTTGGTTCATAACTTTACTGATGAAATTTAAATTTTCAGTCTTTTATCACAACAACTGAAGATTTAATACATTATATTTACTGAACATATTGGATCTGATTTAATACATTTCGGGGTTGCAACTTATTTTTTATCATCAGTTAATCTGCCAATTGTTTTTTCAATAAATTAGTTAGTTATTTTGTTTATAAAATTTCAGAACATAGTGAAAAATGTCTTCAGGTGTCTCGCTCTTTCCATGCAGGTGATAACAATCCGATAATATGCAGATATTAAGACACTCTGAAAGGGGCCATTCTGCATAATGAGGACTTTTACTCTTTAATAACTGGAGCAAAGTTCCACAGAGAGATGCTGTGCACTAACCTAAAATCCCAGGCGCGCTTCTGAACCCTGATTTTGAATCTCGCATCAATAATCTCACTTAAACAGACTTTTATCACATTATAAATATTGCTAAAGTGCAACCTCTCCCAGGCAGTCACTGAGAGACTTATGCATGCTTTTATCACTATAGGCTTGATTATTGCAATGCTCTCCTCTTTGGTCGACCAAAGAAAAGCTATAAATAAGCTGGAGATCAGTCACAGTGCAGCAGCACGTGTACTGACCAACACCATCACCTGTCCTCAAGTCCCTTCACTGCTTATCTGTCATTTGTAGAAAACACTTTAAGGTAATTTTCACTCACTTAAGGCCTGAATACTTATCAGACAAGTTCTTAATGTATGCTCCCCACACTGGTATTGCAGTTGTTCCCATAAAGAACTATGGAGGCAGAATTAGTGTCTATGATGCATGCTTGTACAACCAACAGGCTCGGCTACTGCAACGCTCTAGTTTCTGGTCTGCCAAAGAATACAGTAAGCCAGCTTCAATTAGCTCAAAACATTCAGCTCTCTCTACACTGGTTACCTGTTTTTCCAGTTGATTGTAAACTTATTTTATTAGTTTATAGGTACGACATGGCACCAGACTACCTCTCAGGAATGCTTTCAGTTTATGAACCATGAGGCCCTCCGATCCTCTGGTCCTCTGCTCTTAGCTGTTACTCTCCAGGCCGTTGGATCTGTGAGCCGCTGAAAATATTGATATTTTTAAACAGGAACTAAAAACCCATCGATTCAGTCGGGCTTTTTTGTAGTGTTTTTTTTTCATTTTATGGTCTTTATTGTCATTGCTTATTATTATGTCCTATTTCATACAGTGTCTCATGTGTTTTAATGCTATGGTTTACCATGATACATTTATTCAGTATTTATTTCTTCTAAGCATTCTCTTAATCTTGATCCATTTTATTTTATAACCCGAATGTAAACAAATCACCTGCACTCACGTTTGTATGTATCGCATTCTATATTTTATTTAATAGTAGAGCGTTGTATTTATTTTTAGAAATTTAAAAAACCCCAGTGTAAACAAGTGTTTTTTTATATATTTGATTCTACATTTTATTTTGTATTGTAGTATTGCAGTATTGTAGTATTGTATATGTGGTGTACCTATTGTTTCCGTCTTTACAGTAACGTTGTTTTATTAATCATGTGAGGGAGGCAGGAGGCGCTGTTCAGTCCCACCCTGTAACCAGCACCTGAACGCCTCATCCTCCCCTTCATTTACCGTCGGGCCTTTTCTACTGTTGACACACCAACACACCGACGGGAGGCTTCTATTCTCAATAGAAAACAACAAATCTGATCGATTGTTCTCTGTGGAGATTCTATTGATCCGACATCGTGCCTGTGGCCTCGCACACACCGAGACACACACACACACACACACACACACACACACACACACACACACACACACACACACACTCTCTTCATCGCTTTGGTTTCCTGTTCGATGTTCGCTGCGATCACTTGATTCGATCAGTTTCTAGCGTTTGTTTGTTGTTTTCTTACCTGAATGTTGTTTTCTGTCCGGAGCCGAGCAGGATCCTCCTCCTCCACTCCCTCTGCTCCATCTCTACAGCATCAGCACCACTCTGAAACACACACACACACACACCTACACACACTTCCTCGCTGTTTCCACGTTAAAGCTGCAGCCCCACAGCGCGCCCTGCTGGCACGGAGCCTGTTGAAACAAGTATTCATGTAGTTAAAGCATCAGCAGTAAAAGTATACAATTATTATCCGCTTCAGGTAGTTACAGTATCAGCAGTAAATGAACACATGTATTATTAGCTTCATGTAGCTAAAGTATCAGTAGGACAAGTACACAAGTATTCTCGGCTTCACATAGTTAAAGAATTAGTACGACAACTATTATTAGCTCTATGCAGTGAAAGTATCAGTAGTAAAAGTACACCAGTATCTTCAGCTTCATCCAGTTAAAGTATCAGTAGTAAAAGTACATGGGTATTATTAGCTTCTTGAAGTTAAAGTTTTGCAGTGAAAGTACTGAGAGACAGAAGTGCAGTGATTTTATAGAAGAAAGTTGTATTTTTAAAAGCAGCAAACATTCAGATTAATGTAAAGCAGTAGAAGTATGAAGTAGCATCACACGGAAATACTACAAGTACTTCTAAACTGTGCTTACATACAGTACTTCAGTAAATGTACTCTCCATTTCTGCTGCTTTGATTGTAATGAGCGCAGACTCCTCATATCATTAAGAAAACAATCTCAACTCCACTTACTCGCTTGTTCTGGAGCTTTTGACCAAATCACACGGTCTTCATCAGCCGAGTTTGCTCCGGTAGGACTCGTCATCCACAGTGAGTTAAATCGCTGAACCACACTTATCAATATCAGATATATATTACAGTTTTACAGCCACATACAAATATCTGGCTCCCTTTATATATTTTCCTTTCATAAAAATCCAGATTTCCATTTTCACAGCTTTATTCTGACTCAGCAGATTAATGATGCAATTAAATATAATACACATTTTATGACTTTTTTGTGTCTTACTTCTCAATTAGAAATGACTTTAAATGTATTTTAATTCGATCACATGGTCTTTTGAGGACTTCTTCCTGAATAAAAACTTATTTATATTAATTTGTAAGTTTCTTTAAGATCTTTATGCTTTTATTTGATTTTTACAGATTCCACTGTTATAACAATAAAATATCATGACCCTAAAGTGTTAGAAACATTACTGAATTTCAATGGAAGGAAGAGTTAATAAGTCATATTAAACCTTAATTTTTGGCAGATATTGTCTTTTTATTAGTAAAATATTAATGACATTTCAAATTCACACACATTCCCACTGTCCCTCTTTAGTCTCCTCACTAACAAAGGAAACATTTAAAGTGAGAATCTTACCTTTAGTTTATTCATTTCAAAATTTTTTCCTGATATCTCACTTTCTGCTGCATCTGTGAAACAGACTTGTTTAGTTTTTTTTTTTGTGTTTCTGCCACAAAGAGGTCAGAAATAAATAAAACAAACAGTTTAAATACTCTGTGTGTTTCTACACAGAGCTACAGGAAAGATATATAAAAATATAACAATGGATAAACATCAGATTTAACATTTAGTATAAAACGGTAAATACATGATATAACCTGGTTCCCTTCATATATATTTATACATTAATGTCTACGCAGAGCTGAACCCCGGGTTTGCAAAGTTCCCGTTGGCCTCATCGTCGTTCTCAGCGAAGTCTTCGGGGTCGAGGTCGGCCTCGAACATCCGCTGCAGCAAAGCGTCCACCGTCCGATATCCTGACAGGAAACAACCAGTGATATCATCATCATCATCATCATCATCAATAATAATCAACAGATCAGGAGCAGAGCACATTGGATTTCTGTCTCTGAACTAAAATTTTGAAATCCCAGAAGACACAAAAGCTATTTTATTTTGTTAAACTTAACTGAACAGAAAATTTCAAAATGTGATATCTTTATGAATTTTTTTTATTAATTATTTGGGGGGGGAAACAAATCTTAATTAATTTGTATTGCTGTTTTTCATAGCTTCATAAAAAGGTTTCTGTGATCTGCAGGTGAAAAGACTTCTTCGTTAAAACTGGACTAAATGTCTAAAACACAAGTTTTACATTTTGATTTCAAAGGCTACTCAATGAGCACTTAGCTAAAAGGTTCTACAGGATTTCTTGGCGTTCATACCACGTTTCACACCAAATGATATCAGTAAAATGAAACGGCGAACACATTGAACACACCTGGTGAGCAAAATAAAGCAATTCCATTGAAGGTGGTCTGATTTTTATCAGACCACCTTCACTTTTTTTGTCCAAAAAAAATAAAAATAAAGAGTTGTCAAAGAGTAAAAGCTGCTCTCAGAGTTTTTGCTCTTCTGGTTCTTTGATCTACAGGTCCCACAGAGTCTGCCCTTTCAAAATAAAAGCATCCATTTGCTGTGACCCTGATGGTCTGACTGTTTCTTACTTTTTGAAGCGATTTTAAACATCAGGCCGGGTTTGTTGTTTGCCGATTGGCCGGTTCCCTGGTCGTTGTCCATGGTTTCCATGGCGTTCACCAAGTTATCCTCCAACTTCTCCCTGGTGCACAAAACAACACGGATAAAACAGCTGAATAACCAAACTTTTTGGGGTTTTATTTTACGGGATTTTCCTCTTGTCGTTGCTTCGTCCTTGTGGATTATTGAACCAGTTCACCTTTAAAAATGGAAAATATACGACAAACATTCCTGTAACAAGGGATCACAAGCTAAAAACGTTGGGAACCATTTCATTAAATGTTAAATGTACATTCCAGACTATAAAAGCGATTCAGACTCTTAACAAATAAAGTGCTTTAAAAACATACCAGGGATTTTCTTAGCCAGTTCATCTGGTTTACTTTCCATAATCATTTTTTTTTTTCTAATCATTCGTTCATTAGCATCAATGTCTTAAAAATATAATTTAATCCATCTCGAGTCATCTCAGGATTTCATATTTGAGAGTCTGATTGTAAAGTTTTGAAAACACGGAGTAAAAAAAAACACAAATACTGTGTTTTAGTACATGTTGGAAATCCTAAAGTGGTACGGTCCTTAATACCCGTCCGCTAAATATAACGTCCGTGCTGTTGCCGATCATTCCTGGAGTATAGTGAGTGACAGGTCCTGGTTGCCTTTGTAACGTACTGTGCCACAGCCAGCTCCAGCTCCTCAATCTTCCTCTCCAGAGACGTCTGCAGGTCGCTCTTATCCACCGAATACTCCACGAAGAACGCCTCGAGGACGAACGCCACGAAGATACTGAAAAGCAGGAAGTGATGCGTCGTCAGCCCCAGACAATATTTTGTTTATGTTACGGCAAATTGCGGGGATTAAATGGATGCTGAATAAGCAGTTCCTGACTGCAGATGTACCCATGGACGTACAGACTGGAATACTTTGATACTGAAGAAAACTTCTCAGGCAACTTCTGCAGTGATAAGGAGTGCCTTTTTCTCAGTGGATTAATGGGCACCTCTTGGTGAAAAACAGTAGAGATAATGATATAATGTAAAGTATGTAAATCAAGCTCCTCCTTAGTCTTACTTGATGATGACGATGACGACCATGATGTGGAAGAGGATGAAGAAGAGCCTGGCTGAGATGTGGGTGACGGCGGCGAAGCCGCTGCTGAGCAGTGGAGTCACGTTAAGGAATCAGAGAGTTTAACATTTGAATCAATCGGAGTAAAGAAATGATTCCTAAACATCATAATAATATCCGGGAGAACGGTTTACTCCACTACATCTCATAGGACAATATAACTACATATATTTGATAACTTTAGTTACTTTGCAGATTCAGATTAATAATACAAAAAATACAGATAAAAGATAAATGAGCTCCACCTTTACCAACTGCAACATCAAAGTGATGAACACATTAATGCATCAATTCTTATAATTCAATATGATTCTTAAATAGGCCATTCTGCAGGATGAGTACTTTGGCTTTGGGTATTATCACTATTTTGACTTTAGCACATTTCTGAATGAATTCCGACCGTTAACAGTGTTTCTACACTGTTGTATTGACCAGCAGTTTTACTCCCCGTGCGCGAGGCGTTCAGGTGAAGGATATCATGCCACTGGTTGACCACGGTGAGCTCCAACAGCAGGATGTAGGACGACACCACGTTGTTGAAGTTGTTCTTGCAGTAGTTGAGTTGTGCGTAGGCCGTTCCTTTCAGCAGTGGGTTTCCACAGTACGCCTTCGCCGGGTCGCTGGAGTCCTCCTCGTAAAACTTCACCTTCCCCTTGAACAGCTCCATCCCTACCATGGCAAAGATGTAGTACACCACCTGAGGAGGAGGAGGAGGAAGATGGAGGACGATTGATTTGGATACATTGTGATGAAAAGTGGTCCATGCATTAATGTTCCCCTCAGGATGAATTGTACAAACTCTGGTGATCCTGACTTTTCATCCAGCGCCATCATCAGGTCAACATTTTAATGTTTCCGATACGATGCTTTATGACATTCCCATCAGCCTCAGCTGCACTGATAATTAGCCAATGTTAGCATGTTAGCACGCTAAACTAAGTTAGTGAACAAGGTCAACATTAAACCTGCTAAACATCAGCATGCTAGCATTGCCATTGTGACGTAAGCATTTAGCTCAAAAGCAGACTGTGGACTGTCAGAGTGCTTAATACACCACAGGTCTATAAACATGGACTACTTTTAGGCACTGTCGGGAAAACTAATACACTTTTAGATGCCTTATAATATATTCCAACAATCTGCTATCCACAACTTACAATGATCAGCTGTCCAAATGTGAGGATCGCTGGTCCGATCCTGATCAGGGTGTTGATGATTGCACGAAACCTAACGGGGGATATAGTCCAGATGAGAGAGCGATGGTACATCAACCGTGTTTGAATCAGACAAAAGTGCATTTAAAGATCAAACCTTTTAATGCTGTCCACCACCCGGATCAGTCTGAGGACTCGCAGGATGAAGACGATGTCCAGGATCTGTCGGCTGGTGTAATTTCCCGCTACAACAGGGCGGACACGATTACTCAGGTTGAAACTGGTTTAACTATAAATCATGTCGCACCAAACTTTAAAAGTTTGAAATGACTAAAGATTAAATTTAAAGCTCTCTTTAAACTTCAGTTAAATATCCGGCAAATCAAAGCTAACGGTGCTAACAGCACTAACAGCGCAAACGTACCGACAGAGCTACCGCTAAGTTTAAACAGAAGTAGAACAAACTTACATGATGTCACGGCGGAGTTGACGATTGTGGCGATGAGAGCGGAGATGACGATGATGGTGTCGAACCTGAAAACACGAATCAAACATTAGGAAACCATAAAATAAGTTGAGCGTAAATACTTTTCTTCGACAGTGATGAAGCTGAAAGCAAAACCGGCGTTAGCTTAAATTAAGCTGATGTTTGTTTTTTTTGTCCCATTTGTGTTCACAGGATGTCAGTCAGACATCAACATGTTTAACGACAGAAACATTTCATGGATGTATTAAAAGATCTGTAGGCGCCGCCACTCAACCTGTCAATTTGTCCCAGTGGTCACTCGAGGTACTGCAACAAACAATTTCCCCCATAGACCTCTATTATAAACGAGACATCTGTAACACTGTTCACAGGATGTTTCCAACTGCAAACAAGCTCAGTTATTACTCTGTGTGTTATGAATATGTAACCCGTGGAGGTTTTATATTTGGAAAAGGATTTTCATTTGTGCGACGCCCTGATGTAAACGGGCTGAGCATCAATGTGGAAGCCACAAAACGATTTTTTGGGCTTTAAGCTCAGTGAGCAATTTTCATTCAAATGAAGACGGTGCCATCTTTTAGTTCGATATCCAGTTCTTACGATACATCCATGAAACATACAAACGTATCCGACTGAAGTCACTGCAGCTGCACTGCTCACCAGCGGGGAGCGCAACAATGCCACTGAAAAGAAAGAAAACAACTTCAACAGCTGCAGCAAAAGAGTTTCAGCACACTTTGTGGTCACTTTATTAGGTACACCTGCAGAGTTTAATACAATACAGCTATTCTGCCATAAAGTTATGGAGCTTATCATATTCAGTTTGTGTTGACTCGTGATAGAAGTTCCAATTCAATCACAGTTAGTGATGGTGGAGATGTTTTCTAATATTTTGACCCCTCCATGTACATGCCAGCCCACAGAGCCCTTTTGTGAATCTGGAAATGTTGCATATGTTCCAACAATTTGGATACTTGGCATTAATTAGTATAATCACATTTATGGAAAAATATTTCAGCAACTGCTTGGCTGATTTGGGTAATATTGGATATCGGTTTTAGGTGTTTGAGGATGTTGATTCCATATTTTTACAAATGGCTGTTTAAATATATATGAAAATAATGGGAAGGACACAGGATTAGAAACACCACATTTTGTTTACAGGTTTCTGACATTGTCAACAAAAACTGAACATTATAAACTTTGTAAAGACAGATTAAGTTATGGCAGAACTGTTGTATTGCATTAGATTGTACAGGTGTACCTAATAAAGTGGCAATTGTGTGTAAAAAAAAAAAAAATGTAAAAAGTCTGAGAGAAAAAACTAAAAGTGTGAATGAGAAACCAAAACTGTGAGCGGCAGGTTGAAGTCACTGTTTCTACCTCGCACAGTCAAAATACAGAGAACAACATCTGAAGACCTGAGAGGGTTTGTTTTTTGCTCGCAGTTTTGGTTTCTCAGTTTTTAATTAATTGTTTATGGCTTTTTCATTAAGACTTTTTAACTTTCAGAATTTTGGCCCTAAAACAGCTCTACAAAGAAGTGTTTTTACTCCATAATTGCACAAAAACAACCCAATAAATTGCCGCCTCAAGCATCAGTGAGCTGGTCCAAGCGCTGACAGGCGTTCGACTGAAGAAGCAGCGGATAATGGAACTGGAACATGTGTCACATACCTTGTACTTATAATCTGGGATGAAGATAAGCTGTGTGAAATGAACGTGACACAGCTCATTGATTTTAGATTAGGAAACGTTTATCAGTAAGTGTTTCCTCATATCGGAGGATGTTCTGAAAAAACACTTATTGAGTTTCAAACACAAGCAGCTTCAAACAAATATTGAAATATAAAATAGTTATTTTGTACCAAATCATACACATTTTCTTCAAGTTGAGCCAAGATCATGTAAATAATGATTTTATAAACGTCCATGCAGTCCATCAGAAGGTATTAATACCTCGATTCATTAATACGTCCAACATTAGTTTATAACAATTCTATAAATTCATGAATCGTGATGCAAAAGAAACTAGCTGGATGAAATCGGATCGAACCTCTTAATTTCATCCTCATAACAATATTTGTTGAACTTTATCTCCAGCTTCCCGTGGACAAAATGCAGCATTACCCAGAATCCTTTGCTCAATTGGGACAAACGCAGTGCGAGTGTCAGCTTGTCCTCACCAGTTCCAGAAGCTGTGCCTGGAGAAGAACGCTCTGGGCTCGAACACGTAGAGCTTCAGCAGGATCTCCAGCAGGTAGAGAGCCAAGAAAACCCACTCGGAGTTAGCGATCAACGGATTCGCCTCGTCCAGACCGATGAACACAGCGTTCACCAGGATAATCAAGTCGTACACGATCACAAAGGCCCTGAAAGACACACACACACACACACACACACACACACACACACACACACA